AGATAAGTGTTTAGACTTCCGCTTTACTTTTATAAAACTCTTGAACTTGAAATGTTGTTCTTTACCTCTCTTCATTCTATGTCTTATGTTATGAATGCTAAGTGGCTTGTATGGGGCCTTTCGGGATCCTATACGCCATGTTATGCCTAGGGGGTACCTTGGGTCGTGACAAAAGATATCTCAACTAGTGCTATTCATGGATATAATATAATTATAATGTCTTAGTTCCTTGACCAATTCCTCACATTTGTGACATAGTGCTATTCGTGGATATAATAATTGAATATCCTTAAAAGTAACCAGGATGGGATAAATCATTGGGTTTTAACAGATTGTTAGAATGAGAACTTACTAATACAAATAGGCTGCACCTCCAAGAATTATGCACAACAAAATGATGTCAACACAGAAGTTTCAGCTAGATCTCAGTTGAAAAAGGAAAAGACTTGTTAAATCTGGTAACATCAAAAGATAGAAGTACTATCCTGCAAACTGCCTAAACTTACAGAGAATGACATAATATAGTGGAAGCTCAATTTACCTGGTTAATCGTGTCCTTAAGCCTAACATTCGTATTCTTAAGGTCAGATGTAGCCTTGTCGATCTGTCCACAAATTAAACGTAACCAGGATTGTTAGAATGAGAACTTACTAATACAAACTAAGGGCTGCACCGTCCAAGAATTATGCACAACAAAATGATGTCAATACAGAAGTTTCAGCTAGATCTCAGTTGAAAAAGGAAAGACTTGTTAAATCTGGTAACATCAAAAGATAGAAGTACTATCCTGCAAACTGCCTGAACTTACAGAGAATGACATAATATAGTGGTAGCTCAATTTACCTGGTTAATTGTGTCCTTAAGCCTAACATTCGTATTCTTAAGGTCACATGTAGCCTTGTGGATCTGTCCACAAATTAAAGCAAATTAGCACAAGTTTTGAACTCTTTCCTTTAAACTGACTAAGTAATTACAATAAGATTTTATGACCTTAGACTCAATCTCATCCATCAGAGGACTTGCCTATCCAACTCCTTCATAGATTGGATAATCATTAATATCCACAATATAGAAGGAGCAAAACAGACCACACAAAAAAAATCCCAGACCTCATTCATATCACTGACCATGTTTTTCAAAGTATCAAAACTTTCTGATATGACCTCCAAACCTTGATCCTATGAGAAGTCGAAACAAAACCATACATCGGTATTTAGGAACCAACAAGCCAGCAATAAGATGCAATAAAAGGCAAAAAACTTCTGATGATTCATGAACAAGACCTTAAATATTCCAAAAAAATACATGCATGTTACATTTTGAAAAATTCATATTCTTGTTGGAATTGACTTGATTCTTCAGTTTACTTTATAACCTAAATCAAATTTAATTTCTGCACGAGAACCTGAACCTCCCCATCCACCAGATTGTTTGGGTGTAGTGCACCGTCTGAAATTGCAGTTATCCTATTGGGCAGTGCAAGTATCAAATCATTACATACAACAAATTCTTTGCTTGAAAGCCCTTTAACCTGCGAGAGGAAGTATTGTTAGTTGACAAAACAAACCCACTGAAAATAGGTTATTTCTTGTGATGCATGGGCAAACACTGGAGGAAAACAGTCCTAAAGAAATCCAAATAATATAATAACAGAGAAAGGAGTGTATGAGAGCCAGTGACAAGAACCAACTGCACAGACTAATGTCACGTCCCGCCACTTCACAATCAAATTTTGCAGTCGGATAGGGGCGGAAGAGTCTAGAGTTATGGAGAGGTTTATAGAGAACTCTAGAAGCCCTTAGAGTTTTCAAGAAGGCTTAGAAATCCCTAGGTCCTCCCTTAGAATTCTCTAGAATGCCTTAGATATTTTCTTGGAAACCTTAGAAATTCCTAGAAAGTGTAGAGATTTCTAGAGAGGGACCAAAGTGTAATTATTAGAGGGACGTGTAAAGTAATTTTTATTTGCACTTAGGCCCTTAGAAAGTAGTATAAATAGAAGGGCCTCTCATTTGTAAATCATCCAACAAAGTGTAAGCAATATAAAGCCTTCTTCCAAATCTTTCTAAGTCTTTCTTTACACTCTTAGCGATCTTAGTTTCAAAGAGCTTACTTGAGCTTACAAGATCTTGAAAGACTAGTGAGTAAGTTGTCAAGTGCCGCACGGAGTTTTAGTAAGACTCTAAGTTCGTGGCACTAAGCTCTTAAGTAACATTATACTTCTATAGCTATTTGTCATACTAAATAGAGAAGGCTTGCTGCCATCACTACATTAGGTTCTAACAAATTGTTAGAATGAGAACTTATTAATACAAATAGGCTGCACGTCCAAGATTTATGCACAACAAAATGATGTCAATACAGAAATTTCAGCTAGATCTCAGTTGAAAAAGGAAAAGACTTGCTAAATTCTTGATAGTTGACAGAGTTACTAAGTCTTCTCGCTTTTTGGTTGTCAAGACTACAGATTTGGCGGACTAGTGTTTCCTGACCAATTCTGTAATTCCATTGTCCACAATAAGATATTCATCTTTCTTTTATAATTTCATTTCATTCATGCAAAAACTGGAAGTTTCACAGAGAATTGAAAAGAAGTGGAAGATTATCCACATTTGATTTGACACTTGTAAAAATGCATAAAGTTTAAAAAGACAAAGGAGAGAAAATATCAATATACGATTGTTTCAAATGAATAGACCAGAATGCAGTTTGTCCCTTGTAACATCTCATAAATAGATATTCTAGTTTACCCTATGATCTCTGGCATCAGATAACAAACTGCATTCAATTGTCTACAAGATATAAAGAGGAAATCATCCTACAAAACGCAACTTATAATTTACAGCCTCGTATAAACATGCCCCCTATTTAATAACCCCCCGTCCCCCCAAACCAAACCAAATCATATCAAAGAGAAGACATTAAGACTTAAAACAAAAAGGCAAGTGACAATTATAACCAATCAAAGACACAAAAGCATTATTTACATGATCCTCAAAATTAGAATGGCTAAAAAAAACTTTCTTTCTTGTATAAAGAACCGTAAACTCCAATTTACATACAACAAATAAGAAGATATAGCAACTTTGCAGATATTTTAACCCCCAACATACATGCACTTTTGACTGTAATGGCACATCTTTTCAATTAGACTAGTTCTAAATTGTTAGTCTATCATTACTAAGGGTTAACAAACCAACAAAAAGTTAAACCCAAATAAGAAAATAAAAGATGCTTAAGATTCTCCTTAAGTTCATAGAGACAAGAATATATCAATTGCTAAAGTAAGTACATCTTGATGACAACTTAACCCTCCAAAATAACTTCCAAGCGAGGAAATATCTGATGCTTTTTTACTAGTCATAGATTGTGCATCATCAAGTGTTAAGAAAATGGATAAAAGTCGTACAAATAAAGCAAGTCAGGACTAACTGAATCTAATTTTTTCATGATGTTATGAAGAGCTTGGTAGAGTCAAACTTGCCTTCGAGCTGACAATAACAGTTGTTCTGCATCTTTGTATTTCTCCCTTTCAATTAAAGAGCAGGCAGTATTGTAACCCAATTCAAAACTGCTAGTTGCTTTAACTCTCAGTGAATCCAAGGTTCCTTGCACTTCAGAAGACCTTCCAGTTGAAACCAGACCAGCAACAAGATTTATCTCCAAGATTTATTGGTTGAATATGGGTATCAACCCATATTTTACCTATGTAAAAAGTCAATCACCCAACCCATTAAAATATGGGTGGGTTACCAAAATATG